AAATACTTCTTACATTTGGCATTTTTCTTCTGTGAGTTGTTTATTTATCTCCTTTCCCAATTTCTTGATTGACATTGGGTTGTGATATCTTGTTGATTTGCAAGAGATTCTTATGTCTTTTTCCATATCTAGTCTATTTTATTCATTTAAACTATTTTCTCCCAAGTTATTATTAATTTAACTCTGTACATTGTATTATTTACTGAACGAAAATGCTAATTTTGATATAGACAAATCATTGCTTTTCCCTTTTAAAAGTGTGTCCCTTTGGGACCTTGCATACAAAAGTATTCCCCCAGTCACAGATATTCTGAGACAGTCTTACTATTCTTAGTATGTCATATATATATATATATATATATATGTATATATATTTTTTTTTTGGAGATGGAGTTTCGCTCTTGTTACCCAGGCTGGAGTGCAATGGCACGATCTCGGCTCACCACAACCTCTGCCTCCTGGGTTCAGGCAATTCTCCTGCCTCAGCCTCCTGAGTAGCTGGCATTACAGGCATGCGCCACCATGCTCAGCTGATTTTTTTTGTATTTTTAGTAGAGACGGGGTTTCACCTTGTTGACCAGGATGGTCTCGATCTCTTGACCTCGTGATCCACCTGCCTCAGCCTCCCAAAGTGCTGGGATTAAAGGCGTGAGCCACCACACCCAGCCTTCTATATATCTTTTAGACTTACCTTTTACATCCAGCTAGTATTTATCTTTGTTATAAAGTTTTACAATTTGATCCACAAATGTCTTGTTAATTGTACACTTTTCTAGATGATTTGTAAATCTGCTGTTATTTTGGCTAGAAGTTTATTTTTTAATTTGATAATTTATTGCTATTTTAGAGAAGTTCTAATGAATTTCCTAGGTTGATCTTCTAACCAGCTCTCTTGAAGAACTATTTATTGCAGTTCTGTAAGTTGTGTGGGATGGTTAGTTTTTATTTGTAGATCATGATATTATCCACAATCGATAGTTTTATCTCTTCCATTACAATAGTAGTATTACAATCCTCATTTCTTTTTCTTACTTTATTGCATTGGCCATGCCCTCTAGTACTATATTGGATAATAGCAGTCATTTCTGTCTTGGACCTAAACATAAGAAAAATGTATCTAAAATTTTAAACATTTTCCTAAGTATATTTGCTGTAGGATCTTAGTAGAGAGCCATGCTCAAGTTAAAGAATTTCTTGTCTGTTTTTAGTATCTGAGAGTTTTTATCACAAAGAGATGTGAAACTTTTCAAATACTTTTTGGCATCTGTTGAGATATCGTGATTTTTCTCCCTAAGTTTATTAATGTGGTGAAATACATGGATGGATTTTCTTATACTGGACCATTCTTAAATTCCTGGAATAAATGCTTCTTAGTCATGATTGGCTATTTTAAAAATAATTTACTAATGTTTTATGAAGAGCTGTAACTAGGGCATAAGTGAAATCATCTATACTTTCCTTATACACTCCATATAAAGTTTCTTGGATCTTGTAAAACATTCAGTTGTTATGTGAAAGAAAATGGGAAAATTATTCTTCTTCTTCCAACTTCTTTCACTAAAATCAAATTGCCATCTGCTGCCCTTTTACCATGCCTTTCTCTGAGCATAATACCTTTTTGTTTAAATGTCAAATAACAGTGGTTGTTTTTAAAAGATACTTTAAACAGTAATTGAGCTGAATATGTGTGGTACCAACCATGAAAAACAGTGCCCAGTTGAAGTGCCAATGACATGAACAGCCATGGACAGATTCCTACATGTATAATAACATCATAGCAGCCACCAGGCCAGCAGTAACTCACAAGGATTCATTGATTATTATAAACACACCCTCATTATAACAGTGTTAAAATGTGTTTCTTACAATTGAAATATGGTAGTATAAGGAAGGTACCAGGTATGATCAAACAGACATGAAATGCCAAATTGTACGATTCTGGTCATACATCCATTTACAGAGATGACCCTGGGTCTCCCTCCCCAGCCCTACGGGGGTCTAAGTGTTCTGACAGAAGATGTGCTGGGCTGACCCACCTGTCCCCTCTGGCGTGTATGACCAATGGCATATGCTTGAGAGCTGCTGATCTAGGGTCAGTCTGGCCGGAGTACAATAAGCCACTCTGGGTCCAGGGTTAGACATCAGTTTGTGGTCGGTGAGTGGTTAGTTCATGGCAGTGAGGTGTAGCCTTTGAGAATTGGGGTCAATATTTAAGTATGGTTCATGCTTGGAGTCAGTCTCTAGGTGGGGTAACTGTAACTGGGTTTGCGGTCAGCCTGTGAGTGAGGTTTGGAGCTGGTTTGTGCCTGGTTTTAAGGGTTCATTTATGGCCAGGGTTGAGGTCATTCCATAGCTAGAGTTAGGAGTCAATGTGTGGCTGGAACCATCAACCAGAGAGCAGCCCATGTGGGACCTGAGGATAGCCCTGGCCCGATAAGCAGCTCTCCCTGCACCACCCTGTGCAGGGAGCCCCACACCTGATCCCTTTGGCCAAACAGCTTTTGTTCTGGGTGTCTTTACAGCATATGCTCTGGACAGATCCCTCTTAGCGCCCCAGGCCATGGCAAACCTTGGCACTACCTCTTATACGGGCTCCACTTAGAGCTCTGGGGCTGTCTATCACTCCGCTTCCGATACAGCAAGGTAGCCCTGCTGGGAGGCAGCCCTGCTCAGCTCACTCAGAGCTAGGTGACCCCGTGCCCACCTACCTCCCTAGAGGCTGGCTGGGGGGCTAACCTAGGAAGAGAGGAGACGCCATGGAGGAAAACGTGTCTGTTTAGGACAAGTCTGAAGATGCCTGAGTGTGCTACCTAGGGTCACTGCATTGCGGAGGCAAGGGTCCCGTGTTCAAGTCCTACTTCTACCTCCATAGAGTGGGCAAAGTCATTTGCTCTCTTCAAACTTATGTTTTCTTGTTTATAAAATAGGAATCAGAATTTCTGTAGGAGTGAAATGGGATCAAATGTGGAACTCTACTGTGAAAACTGTAAGGTGCTATTACAGGGTGGGGGACGGTGATGATGTTGATGACAGTGACAATGACTACACAGGGCGATCATTACAGGGCTCTTGATCTCACAAGGGAGCTGGAAAATGTCGTTTCTACTGTGAACCCGGGAAGCAGAAATGGTATGGTGAACACATGGCCTTGCCTCAGCCACAGAAGGTATCATCATCCCCATTTTACAGATGAGAATGTGGAGTCTTAAAGATTGTATGATTTACCCAAGCATTTGACCAAATGCTTGTTATTGGTCATGCACTGTGCTTAATTATTTAGACAAATTATTTCACTTCATCTTCAGGACAGCCCTTAAAAGGGACCCTATGTAGGCCCTAAGGTCCCAGGAAAACTGTTACAGATGTGGAAACCAAGGCTGAGAGCAGGAGTGGCTGCTTGTCAGACCTCATCTCAGATGTTCCTGGCTCTGAAGCCCACACTGACGCCACTATGTGACACTGAAATTTTGCCAGATGAGAATCAGACCACCTGACTTCTGGGCCTTACTCAGCCTGCCAGTGACATCTTTGTGTGACTTCAGACTCATCAAGCATTCTCATTTGTAGAAAATGAAAATGCCTACCAAGCCTGCTTCCTGGGAGTTAGTTGAGGAGCAAATGAATGGGAAAATGTGTTCAAAAAAAAAAAAAGTCAAATGTTGCATAAATAGGAGGGATTTTAAATAACCTCCAAACTCTTTCCTTTCTCCACTCATTTTTCCTGATTTCCTCACTCCTCATCAGTAACAAAGTCAGGACAAAAGTGATGATTATTCTAAGGGGCACAAGCAGGGTCTGTCCCTCGGAAAGGCTTCTCCCAGCCTCCCACGGGTTTTTCCAGTTTTCAGGCTGTTTCCAACGACCCCAGAAGACCGCCACTGTTTCCCTCCTGCAGTGATGGAAATAATTAACTCCGTTTCTTCCTGTTTGAATAGTCATGCCTAGCTGGGCTCTTAAATATGAGCTCTGTGTGCAGTGCATTTTCAAACACTCACATGTTCTATTTTTACTTTGCTTGCTAAAGGAACGCTGTGGATGACAATTCCAGCACGAAGGACTCTAATTAATTTCCCCTGCCCTTAAATATTTTTTCAAAGTATGTGAGGAAAGGGACGTTTAAAAAAAAAAATTCCGTGACTCTGGAGGTGGATTCCGACATAGTTCTGACTGCCTTCCACTTGGAAATCCACCTTCGCCTCGCTGCCTGGCCCTGCTGGAGTGCCCTGTTCTGCAGCTGGGCAGTGCTTACTGCTCCTCCTCCCGACAGGAGGGACTGCCTCCTCCATCCAGCCTCTCAGGCCACAGACCAGCTTAAGTCCTAGAATCTGAGGGCCCAGGGAGAGGAGGCTGGTCCTGGCTAAAGGCCTGGAGAGGTGAGGAGCAAAGGGGGGGTCTCTGAGGGCCAGAATCATGAAAACACAGGACTGAGACCATCAGAAAAACCATTGGGCAGATTCTTTTGCCTTGAATCACCATCCCCAGAATAGCCTCCGAGCCAAACCATACAGGCCAAATGGTGATTTATTATTAATCTAGTTGTCCTGACTGTAGAATGATATTCCTCAAACTCTATGTGCCCTCATAAGGCCAGGGGAGGGTCTGAGCCCAAGGTCCCAGGGCAAGAGAAGTTTTTGCGATCTAGAACGCAGGGCTGTGGAGAGGTAGTTTTATCCTTTGGGAGTCATTCTGGGTTTCAAGGTCCTCATGGAAAAGAAGTTGTTTTGAAAGAGCAAAGCCTTTTGAAAACACACAAGAAAAGCTTCTCCCATTTCTAGCTCTCAGCTGCCAGTGGGTAGGCTCCGGCTTCCTGGAGTGAATCCTAAGCCTCGGCAGGGAAGCTAGAGGCCTCCAAGATGTGGATTGAGGGCAGGCTCCTGCATTTGAGAGTGCTGTGCCTGAAATACCATCCTGAGTGCTTCATGCTTTAGGATTCCAGGCACCATCCCTGGTAAAATGCAAATCATCTTGAGGCAGCACATGAAAGGTGTGGGTGGCAGGGACGAGGACCGAGCTCTTCTTTCTCTGCTTCCTTCTCCTTTCTTCTCCCCTCCCCTGTCCTCATTCCCTGCCTTCTGTCTTGCCCACTCCCACCCCATTTTCTGTTCCCTGCCCATTTCCATTTTCAGCCCTCCTACCTTCTTCTCCCTGCTCTCTTCTCTCCCCCTCCCTTTGGCTCTCTTCCCGCTTGCTGCCTGGGAAGCAGCATCCAGCTTCTGCCTTCCAAGGTGAGTCCAATCAGCAGCACTGCACTTTTACCGCCAGACTTGGGGCCTTCTGGGCACAGCTTTGGCTGTGGCTAGAGAAACAGGCTTTGGGCTGATCTCTACCCTAGGGCTCCCTGGGGACCCTGTGATGCCCTCCCTTGCTCCTTTTTGATGGAGAGGGGGCAGGGGTGGGGGCTGCTGAAGGAAAGAGGCTTCTTTTCTTGATAGCCATAAACATTAAGCAAGACCCAGAGCAAGTCATCTGCTCTTGGTCCCTCACACCCTGGGACGCCAGATCCCTGGTTGAGCACCCTGGGAAGACCTCTAGTTTATGAGGAGGAGCCTGGGCTGGACCTCTGCTCTCTAGACAGTGCTTTCAGGTAACATGCTCCAGTTGCCTTGTTCCAGGCCTGAACGTACACACACAGGATCAAAGCAGAGCATACAGGGTCCAGGATTGCCTCACACTCAGCTTCACTATGCCCTCATTTTGGGTTAAACTATAAGAAACTGCTATTTTTATAAGTCAAATATGGTTAAATATCAGCACATGAATGTGGTTCAGCTTAGTATTTAAAGACCCCTGTAAACAGCATATCATTTAAAAATTCAGTCCTAAGAGGGCCGGGCCCAGTAGCTCATGCCTGTAATCCCAGCACTTTGGGAGACTGAGGCAGGTGGATCACCTGAAGTCAGGAGTTTGAGACCAGCCTTGCCAACAAGGCAAAACCCGGTCTCCACTGAAAAAAAAATCACAAAAATTAGCTATGCCTGGTGGTGCTCACCTGCAATCCCAGCTACCTGGAGGCTGAGGCAGGAGAATTGCTTGAACCTGGGAAGCAGAGGTTGCAGTGAGCCAAGATCATGCCACTGCACTCCAGCCTGGGTAACAGAGCAAGACTATCTCAAATAAAAAAATTTAAAAAAAGGTTTGTCTTTTAAATGGAGCATTTAATTCATTTACTTTTAACTGGAGTATTTCGCTCTTCGGTTGATAAGTTTAGCTTTACATCTACCATCTTTGCTATTTGTTTTCTATTTTTCCTACCTGTTTTATGTTCCCTTTTCTTGCCTTCTTTTGAATTAATAATATTTTTCATTATTCCATCTCCCTCATTAGTTTGTCAGTTTTACATTCTTTTACTATCATTTTAGAGATTGCCATAGATTACTTACTAGAGTCTAATATAAAGTCGTACTTTTGTAAATTCTGAACAATGCTACAATCGTGGAACATTTTAACTCATTCCCCTTCGTTTTGTGCTATTAATGTCACACATTTTGGTTTTGTATATATTTTGAATGTCACATTACATTATTTTCTTGTAAAGTCAATGTCTATTTAGATGTACCCACATATTTACCCTTTCTGTTGTTCTCCATTCCTGCTTATATTTCCTTTTTATCATCTGGGGTCATTTTACCTTTGCCTGAAAATCTCATTTTAGTGTTTATGTTAATGCCTGTCTACTGTTGCTGAATTCTCCTGGTTCTTGCCTGTCTGGAAATAACTTTATTTTGCCTACATTTTGAAAGTTTTTTCCCTGGGTATAGAATTCTAGATTGTCAAGTATTTTTATTTTAGAAATATGAAGCTGTCTTTCCATTGTCTTCTGGCTTTCATCTTTTTGTTGTGCTTTTGAAGTTATGTGTCTTTTCACCATGGACTCGTTTCTTTTCTTCCTTCCTCCCTCCCTCCCTCCCTCCCTCCCTCCCTCCCTCCCTCCCTCCCTCCCTCCCTCCCTCCCTTCTTTCTTTCTTTCTTTCTTTCTTTCTTTCTTTCTTTCTTTCTTTCTTTCTTTCTTTCTTTCTATCCCTCCCTCCCTCCCTCCCTCCCTCCCTCCCTCCCTCCCTCCCTTCCTTCCTTCCTTCCTTCCTTCCTTCTTTTTTTTTTGACAGAATCTTGCTTTGTCACCCAGGCTGGAGTGCAGTGGCATGAGCATGGCTCACTGCAGCCTTGACCTCCCAGGCTCAAGCAATTCTCCTCCCTCTCAAGTAGATGGGACTACAGACAAGGCATGTGCCACCACACCTGGCTAATTTATAAAATATTTTGTAGAGACAAGGTCTCCCTATGTAGCTCAGGCTGGTCTTAAACTCCTGGACCCAAGTAATCCTCCCACCTCAGCCTCCCCATGTGCTGGGATTGCAGGTATGACCCACCGCACCTGGCCGCATGGACTCCTTTAAAGAATATCCTCTTTATCTATAATTTTCAAAGATTCACCATCCTCTTACTAGATGTGATTTTCTTTCTATTTATCCTGCTTGGACTTTGCAGCACTCTTGAATCTCTAGCTTGCTGTCTTGACATTGTTGGAAAATTCTTAGTCATTATTTCTGTATCTCTTTAAATACCACTTCTTCTCCATTCTTCTCTCTTCTTCTTCAATTGTATGAATACTGGAACTCTCAACCAAGTCTCTTATGTCTCTTACATGCAACTTAACTAATCCTTTTCAGCTGTGCCACTCTGTTTGAGCCATCTATTGAATTCTTAATTTCATCAATTATATTCCCTTTTAGTTTTGGAATTTGTTTGATTTTTAAAAATAGATTGCTGTTCCCAAGCAAAATTCTTCATCTTGTTATATCTTTTTATGAGGATATTAATCACAGTTGTTTTAATGTCTGATAACTTTAATAGCTAAGTTGCACATGAGTTTGTTTTTCCTCCCCGTTTTTCTTGCCTGTTTTTTCTCTTGGTCTTGTAACGTGGTATACTTAATATTTTTTACTGAATGCCGGAGAGTTTCTACTAAAACTTGTGGAGGCTTTGGATGATGGCATCTTCTTCTATAGAGGATTTATTCTATTCTCTGGCAAGCAGTTAGAGTAGGGGCTGTTTGTCTACCTTAATTCAATCAAAGAATGAACTGGCCTGAAGTTGGTTTTAGTCTTTACAAATTTGTTCTTTCTCTGGTCAATTTTCCTCCAAAAGTACAGCTCTCCAGTGTTTCTAGGTCCAGGGATGTTTCTTGTGTGGGTCACTCATTCTTAGAAAATCTTAAATTCTTTCCTTCCTTCCTTCCTTCCTTCTTTCCTTCCTCCCTCCTTTCCTTCCTCTCTCTTTCTCTCTCTCTTTCTTTTCTCCTTCCTTCCTTCTTTTCTTTTGTCTTTCTTTCTTTCTTTTTCTTCTTTCTTTCTTTTCTCTCTCTCTTTCTTTCTCTCTCTTTCCATAGGGTCTTACTCTGTCACCCAGGCTGGATGGAGCAGAGTGGCACAATCACAGCTCACTGCAATCTCCACCTCCCAGGCTTAATGTGGTCCTTCTACCTCGGCCTCCCAAGTAGCTAGGACCACAGGCACACCACACCACATCTAGCTAATCTTTTACTTTTTTGTAGAGATGGGGGTCTCCCTGTGTTGTTCAGGCTGGTCTTGAACTCCTGGGCTCAAACAATCCTCCCCGCTTTGCCTCCTCAAATGCTGGGATTATAGGCATAAGCCACTGCACTGGTCCTAAATTCAAATTTTTGTCTCCCAGAGACTGTGAAAGTTTTTCCAGCTGCCTTTTGTTTAGTTTATTAGTGTCCCACCTTGCACAGCCAAGAACTGACAAATGTCTCAAGTAGAAAAATGCCAACTGTCAGCTTTAGTTTTCTGTGCCTCCACTGTCTCTTGGACCTTGGCTCCTCAAGTCAGCTGCCTTGAGAGCCTAGAACTGTCCTTTTTCATTTCTCTGCTCTGTAAGATAGCCTAAAGCTCTGCTGGCTTCTCTGTCTCTGTGTGAGTAAACCCTACCAGGCCCTGCAGCCTCCCACATCCCAAGGGGGAAAGGGATGACCAAATGTTGAGATCTTTTTTTTTTGAGATGGAGTCTTGCTATGTCTCCATGCTGGAGTGCAAAGGTACAATCTCAGCTCACTGCAACCTCCACCTCCTGGGTTCAAGTGATTCTCCTGCCTCAGTATCCCAAGTAACTGGGACTACAGGCATGTGCCACCACACCCAGCTAATTTTTGTATTATTAGTAGAGACAGGGTTTCACCATGTTGGCCAGGATAATCTCGATCTCTTGACCTTGTGATCTGCCTGCCTCGGCCTCCCAAAGTGTTGGGATTATAGGCATGAGCCACTGTGCCCGACCCAAATTTTGAGATCTTTCAAAGAATTCTCTTTTTTTCTCCAAAATCTTGGCCCCTCAAATAAGGGCTCCTACAACTCTTCAAAGAGATTTTTAAAAATATTTTTTTCTAAGGCTGGGCACACTGGCTCATGCCTGTAATCCAAGCCCTTTGGGACACCAAGACGGGAAGATTGCTTGAGCCCAGGAGTTACCAGCCTGGGCAACATAGTGAGACCTCATCTCTATAAAAAACTTAAAAACTAGGTGGGTATGGTGGCACATGCTTTTGGCCCCAACTACTTGGGAGGCTGAGATGGGAGGATTGCTTGAGCCCAGGAGGTGGGGGATGCAGTGAACCGTAATTGTGCCACTGCACTCCAGCCTGGGCAGCAGAACAAAACCCTGTCTTAAAAAAAAAAATTGGCCAGGTGTGGTGGCTCACTCTTGAAATCCCAGCACTTTGGGAAGCCAAAGTTGGAGGATCACCTCAGGTCAGGAGTTTGAAACCCACCTAACCAACATGGAGAAAACTTGTATCTACTAAAAATACAAAAAAATTAGCCAGGCCTGGTGGTGCATGCCTGTAATCCCAGATACTTCGGAAGCTGAGGCAGGAGAATCATTTGAACCTGGGAGGTGAAGGTTGCAGTGAGCCGAGATCACACCATTGCATTCCAGCCTGGGCAACAAAAACAAAATTTCATTTCAGTAGAAACTTTGGTCTGATGCAAGTTACTTTATTGTAACCAGAAGTAAAAATATAACTCTTATAGCTTGGAAAATTTTGTTTTAATGATTATTATTTTAATGTTAATAAAATCTATTGTTTTCCCTAATCCCTTTTTGCTGTGAGGAAATAAACAACTAAATCACGAATCCTTTCATGAACTTTTTGCTGAGGTGTCTTGGGCTTATCTCCCCAGTCATACTCTAATAAATGAACGTCACCATT